CCCGACTGGGATCCAACCGTGACCTCCGGGTTCAGAGGTCGAAGTTCAACCGCTGAGCGACTCCAGCTGGTCTTAATTATTTATTTATTTTAAATATTCTTTTCAGTCCTAACCGGTTTGGCTCAGTGGATAGAGCTCGGCCTTTGGACTGAATGGTCCCGGGTTCGATTCCGGTCAAGGGCATGGACCTTGGTTGCGGGCACATCCCCAGTGGGGGGTGTGCAGGAGGCAGCTGATCGATGTTTCTAACTCTGTATCTCTCTCCCTTTCTCTCTGTAAAAAATCAATAAAATATTTTTTTTAAGAATATTTATTGATTTTATTTTTTTTTATTGATTTCAGAGAGGAAGGGAGAGGGAGAGAGAGATAGAAACATCAATGATGAGAGAGAATCATTGATCGGCTGCCTCCTGCACGGCCCCTACTGGGGGGCATCGAGCCCGCAACCCGGGCACGTGCCCTTGACCGGAATCGAACCCAGGACCCTCCAGTCCGCAGGCCGACGCTCAGTCCACTGAGCCACACCGGCTAGGGCTGGTCTTAATTTTTTATTTATTGATTTTTAGAGAGAGAGAGAGACACACACACACACACACACACATGGATTTGTTCCATCTTCATACGCATTCATTGGTTGGCTCTTTTCTGTGCCCTGAGCAGGGATCGAACCCACAACCTCGGTGACTGGGAAGACGCTCCAGCCAGCGGCGCTGTTCGGCCAGGGTGAGCGGAGGTGCTTTGCAGGATGCTCCCCAGTCCAAGCCCCGCCCAGCCCGCCAGCCTCAGTTTCCCCATCCGTCACCCTGGACACTGCCGCTCCCTCTGAGGAGAAGGGGGGAGCTCTGGGGGAGGACCCAGGACGGGTCTGCTGGGCTGGGGGGGGGTCCCAGGAGCCTGGTGGGGAGGCCATGTGGCCAAGAGGATGGCTCTCTGCTGAGTCCTCTGGGCATCACCCGCCTGGGGAGGTTCCCTCCTCGGGCCTGGGTGCCCCCCCGTGCACCCTGGGTTCACAGCAGGTGCCCAGTAAATACCAGTGGGTCAAAGCGTCCCCCTTCCTCTGTCGCGCCCTTTCCCAGAGGCTGAGCCCTTCCCAGGTCTAGGCCGCCCCTCAGTCCTTCCCGCGGGTTCTCGGCTTGGGCACACCCCTCCCTCCTGTTACCTTTCCCCCAGGGGCCCGAAGAGACGCAGCCTCCTTGCTGGGCCTGGGCCTCGCGGCTGGCTCCCCTAACCCGCCTCTCCCGCCTCCCTGGCCCCCTCGGCCACCTGTTCCAGGCAGAGCAGACTCGGGCTCCCCAGCGGCCTCTCGCTTTCAGAAGGCGGACATGGCAGCGGCGTCCTCCCAGCGCAAGAGGGCGAGCCCCAAGCCGGAGCTGACCAAGGAGCAGATCCAGGAGATCCGGCAGGCGTTCGACCTCTTCGACACGGACGCCACGGGGACCATTGACGTCAAGGAGCTGAAGGTGGCGATGAGAGCCCTGGGCTTTGAACCCAAGAAAGAAGAGATTAAGAAAATGATCGGCGACATTGACAAGGAGGGGACGGGGAAGATGAACTTCAACGACTTCCTGACGGTGATGACGCAGAAAATGTGCGAGAAAGACACCAAAGAAGAGATCCTGAAGGCCTTCAAGCTCTTCGACGACGACGAGACTGGGACCATCTCCTTCAACAATCTCAAGCGTGTGGCCAAGGAGCTGGGCGAGAACCTCACCGATGAGGAGCTGCAGGAAATGATCGACGAAGCCGACCGAGACGGCGACGGGGTGGTCAACGAGCAGGAGTTCCTGCGCATCATGAAGAAGACCAGCCTTTACTGAGTCTCCTCTCCTCTTCTCTTCTGCTGCAAGCACAGCTTCCGTGCCTGCTCTTGTGCGAAACCTGGTTTTTGAGAAGCACAAATGTTTTTTCCCCATTAACCTCCCTGTACAACTTTAGTAACAACCTCACACCCATTTTCAACTTTTGTTGCAACTGTTCTCTGAAAACGTTCTTTGTGAGGTGACCTGCTGCTTCCGTTAATTCTCCAGAAAAGAACGAGAGCACATTGGAGCGCTCACCCACCCACCATTCTCCCTTGTGTTGCTTCGCTCTGGCGTGCGGCCCCGCCTTTATGGCGCCACAGGAGGACTTCGCAGGCAGACACACGGTGTAACTTTGTCACCACAAACAGCAGGCATCTCTGCGGCGGTTCTGGTTTGAATCGACACCTGAGTGCAGCGTTCTCTTTTAAAAAATCCAGTGAGCTCTCTCATTTGCATTTGAATGTGTTTTTCCTATTTGTTTTGTGTTAAAATAAAGCCTAAAAAAAAAAAAAAAGTTCCCCTTGCAAGTGGAGTGTTTAAGTGTCTACTGCGGCCCATTTTACAGAAAGAGAGAACCAAAGCCCCAAGTCCAGGCCTCAGGCACCCTACCAGGACCTGTGCTTTGGGGGTTCAGAGGACCTGGTGGGGGAGCAAGCCTGGGACCCGTGGGAGGGGCCGCCCAGCAAGGGTGGAGTAGGCAGAGGGAGGGCTGGGTGGGCACAGCTCCAGGCGGCCACAAAGGCAGTGAGGTGAGCATCAGGGGTGGGGGGAGGCCCCCATGATCCAGGCCCCAGGCTGGTTTCAGCAGCTCCTTTGTTGCCGGGCGGGCATCGAGGTAGCAATCAGCAGACGGGGATGCCCAGCAGTCCCCGGCTCTGTCATCAGCCCCATTTTACAGGCGGAGAGACTGAGGTCTCAGGCTCCCAGCTGGGAGGGTAGAGAAGCCCAGCTTCCTTGTAGCCCCCAGGAGGAAGCTGGTTGGCGGAGGGAGGGGCCAGCCCTCCCTGGACCCTCAGCCACCACCTCACTGGCCCAGCTACCCCGGACTCAGTGCCACCTGTCATCTCCCTGAGTGTCCTTGAAGATACAGCGCTGAGGTCTCTTCCTCCAGGCAGGCTTCCTTGAACACACTTAGGCAGACAGCATCATCTTTTGCGCTTCTGTGAACCGCCAGCCAAGGGTCCCCTTCTGGTCCCCCGGCTGGACCCATCCCTGGCAGGTCTCCTGTCCCCTCTTGGGGCGCAGGAGGGAAGGGATGAAGAGGGAGCTGTCTGGGACTCGATATAAACTAGATAAGGGCCCCCACAGATGTTCAGATCCCGATTCCTGGGATGTGATACCTTGCATGGCAAGATGGGCCTGTGGATGTGATTAAGGGAAGGACACTGAGCTGGGGAGAGTATGCTGGGCTCACTTCGCCACAAGCTTTTTATTTTTTTCTGTTAATCCTCACATGAGGATATTCCCCTGATTTTTAGAAAGAGTGGAAGGGGAAAGGAGAGACAGAGAAACAGCGATGTGAGAGAGAGAGACGCATCGATTGGTTGCCTCCCACACGCACCCCGACCAGGGCCAGGGACCTGCAACCAAGGTACGTGCCCTTGACCAGAATCGAACCCAGGACCCTCCAGTTCATGGTCCGACGCTCTATCCACTGAGCCACACCGGCCAGGGCTATCACAGTGTCTGTAAGTGAAGGAGCAAGGCAGGAGGGTCAGAGAGAGATACAGAGATACTACCCTGCAGCCGGGAGGACAGGCATTCGCCCCCGGAGCCCCTGGGAGGAACGGGCCTGTGATCACCGGGACTCCAGTCAGGGGAGACCCATCCTAAGACGTCTGCCCGCAGAACTGCGAGGTCCTGTGTGTTGTTCTGAGGAACTGAGGGCAGAAGGATGTGGCAGCCGCCAGAGAGAACGGCACATCACCAGCCTTGCTCCTGCCTGGCCGGCCCCTCCCTGAGGGCTGGGCTCCAGTGACAGGGGCACGCAGGTATGGGACTGGAACTGGTCGGGGAAGACACTCCCTCAGTGCCCTGCTGCTCCCGGCTCCAGGCTTTCCCCCTGGAAGCGGCAGCTCCATCCACAGGAGCTCCGCCAGCTGCCAGGTCAGGGTGGCAGGCGGCCAGCGGGCTGGGCCGGGTGTCCACAGGCATCCTGGGCGGCTCCCTGGCCCCCTGCGAGGCTGTCCCTCCCTACCTACCTGTGTGCCAGCTGCCAGGGACCCACAGTGTCAACAAACCAAACGGGAGCCTCCAGCCCCATGGAAGTCACCTTGGAAAACGCTGGGTGCCCACGGCTGGCGTGACTCAAGGGCTGGGCTTTGACCTATGAACCAGGAGGTCACGGTTCCATCCCCGGTCAGGGCACATGCCCGGGTTGTGGGCTCGATCCCCAGTGCGGGCCGTGCAGGAGGCAGCTGATCAGTGATTCTCATCATTGATGTCTCTATCTCTCTCTCCCTCTCCCTTCCTCTCTGAAATCAATAAAAATATATTTTAAAAAAGAAAAGGAAAAGCCGGGTGCCCACCCACAACACACAGCACCCCAACCCTGGGCCTGGGGTGGGGCAGGTGACTGGAGTTTAGCTGGTGCAGAGGGTGGCTGCCATCTACTCTGCTGTGACTAAGCCAGGAAGGCTTCTGAGAGGAGGAGGCCGGGAACCCTAGGGCTGCCCGCCCTGGAGGCGGCTGTCCACAGGGAGGGCCGAGGCTGCACCTGAGGGCCCAACGGGGCTGCCAGGAAGGGGCACAACTGGCCCCAAGGAACGAATGAATGGAGATGGGGTGATGGGGGCTCCAGTGGCCAGGGAGGCCCAGGAACAACCCCCCCAAAATCAGGTGGCACTGACCCAGAGGGCAACTGTGGCCTCGTTGAGCCTGGTGACACGGAGGCCCCAGACTCTGGAACCCGGCCGCCCCGGCTCAGTGGCTGAGCACCGACCTGTGAACCAGGAGGTTCAATTCCCAGTCAAGGCGCATGCCCAGGTTGCAGGCTCAATCCCCAGTGGGGGGCCTGCAGGAGGCAGCCCATCAGTGGTTCTCATTGTTGTTTTCAATATATTTTATTGATTTTTCACAGAGAGGAAAGGAAAGGGATAGAGAGTTTGAAATATCGATGAGAGAGAAACATCGATCAGCTGCCTCCTGCGGACTCGATATAAACTAGATAAGGGCCCCCACAGATGTTCAGATCCCGATTCCTGGGATGTGATACCTTGCATGGCAAGATGGGCCTGTGGATGTGATTAAGGGAAGGACACTGAGCTGGGGAGAGTATGCTGGGCTCACTTCGCCACAAGCTTTTTATTTTTTTCTGTTAATCCTCACATGAGGATATTCCCCTGATTTTTAGAAAGAGTGGAAGGGGAAAGGAGAGACAGAGAAACAGCGATGTGAGAGAGAGAGACGCATCGATTGGTTGCCTCCCACACGCACCCCGACCAGGGCCAGGGACCTGCAACCAAGGTACGTGCCCTTGACCAGAATCGAACCCAGGACCCTCCAGTTCATGGTCCGACGCTCTATCCACTGAGCCACACCGGCCAGGGCTATCACAGTGTCTGTAAGTGAAGGAGCAAGGCAGGAGGGTCAGAGAGAGATACAGAGATACTACCCTGCAGCCGGGAGGACAGGCATTCGCCCCCGGAGCCCCTGGGAGGAACGGGCCTGTGATCACCGGGACTCCAGTCAGGGGAGACCCATCCTACGACGTCTGCCCGCAGAACTGCGAGGTCCTGTGTGTTGTTCTGAGGAACTGAGGGCAGAAGGATGTGGCAGCCGCCAGAGAGAACGGCACATCACCAGCCTTGCTCCTGCCTGGCCGGCCCCTCCCTGAGGGCTGGGCTCCAGTGACAGGGGCACGCAGGTATGGGACTGGAACTGGTCGGGGAAGACACTCCCTCAGTGCCCTGCTGCTCCCGGCTCCAGGCTTTCCCCCTGGAAGCGGCAGCTCCATCCACAGGAGCTCCGCCAGCTGCCAGGTCAGGGTGGCAGGCGGCCAGCGGGCTGGGCCGGGTGTCCACAGGCATCCTGGGCGGCTCCCTGGCCCCCTGCGAGGCTGTCCCTCCCTACCTACCTGTGTGCCAGCTGCCAGGGACCCACAGTGTCAACAAACCAAACGGGAGCCTCCAGCCCCATGGAAGTCACCTTGGAAAACGCTGGGTGCCCACGGCTGGCGTGACTCAAGGGCTGGGCTTTGACCTATGAACCAGGAGGTCACGGTTCCATCCCCGGTCAGGGCACATGCCCGGGTTGTGGGCTCGATCCCCAGTGCGGGCCGTGCAGGAGGCAGCTGATCAGTGATTCTCATCATTGATGTCTCTATCTCTCTCTCCCTCTCCCTTCCTCTCTGAAATCAATAAAAATATATTTTAAAAAAGAAAAGGAAAAGCCGGGTGCCCACCCACAACACACAGCACCCCAACCCTGGGCCTGGGGTGGGGCAGGTGACTGGAGTTTAGCTGGTGCAGAGGGTGGCTGCCATCTACTCTGCTGTGACTAAGCCAGGAAGGCTTCTGAGAGGAGGAGGCCGGGAACCCTAGGGCTGCCCGCCCTGGAGGCGGCTGTCCACAGGGAGGGCCGAGGCTGCACCTGAGGGCCCAACGGGGCTGCCAGGAAGGGGCACAACTGGCCCCAAGGAACGAATGAATGGAGATGGGGTGATGGGGGCTCCAGTGGCCAGGGAGGCCCAGGAACAACCCCCCCAAAATCAGGTGGCACTGACCCAGAGGGCAACTGTGGCCTCGTTGAGCCTGGTGACACGGAGGCCCCAGACTCTGGAACCCGGCCGCCCCGGCTCAGTGGCTGAGCACCGACCTGTGAACCAGGAGGTTCAATTCCCAGTCAAGGCGCATGCCCCGGTTGCCGGCTCAATCCCCAGTGGGGGGCCTGCAGGAGGCAGCCCATCAGTGGTTCTCATTGTTGTTTTTAATATATTTTATTGATTTTTTACAGAGAGGAAAGGAAAGGGATAGAGAGTTTGAAACATCCATGAGAGAGAAACATCGATCAGCTGCCTCCTGCACACCCCCTACTGGGGATGTGCCCGCAACCAAGGTACATGCCCTTGACTGGAATCGAACCCGGGACCCTTCAGTCCCCAGGCCGACACTCTATCCACTGAGCCAAACCGGTTAGGGCCGTGGTTCTCATTGTTGATGTTTCTCTCCCTCTCTCTGAAGTCAATAAAATATATATAAAGAAGCCAGGACCCATGGGGGAAGTTGAGGCCTCCCTCTTGGCAACTCGGTACTCAGCACCCAGCTGGATGCATCCACTGGTTGATTCCTGTATGTGCCCTGACCGGGAATCGAACCCCCAACCCTGGCGTATTGGGAGGACTTCTAACCGAGCTACCCTACCCGGCAGCGCTGTGAGCCCGTCTTGGAGGCTCAGGCCCCGTCTGTCCTCCCAGGCCTGGACCCAGCCAGGGGTGCAGGGCGGCAGCCCAGGACCGGCCCTGACACAGCTGGAGCCACTCGCCCAGCCTGCAGACGGCAGAGAAGACAAACCCCCACCTGACACCTGGCCGGTCAGCCCTGTGCGCCCAGGTGGGGCGTCTCCAGCAGATAGCATCTGCCCCCTCCCACTCCCCCCAACCTCCTGCCCCCCAGGGCTCTGAGGATGGCGGGGGGTGCTCTCCGTGGGACCGTGTGAGGATCAGGGTTGGGGTGCCACTGCTAGGCCCCCTGCAAAGGGCGTCCCACAGGGATGAGGACCAGGTAGCCCACTTAGGGCGCCTCCCAGCAGTCTTTTATTTTAATCTCCCGAGGATACGTTTCCATTGGTTTTTAGAGAGAGTGGCAGGGAGAGGGAAAGAGAGAGAAACGTGGATTGGTTGCCTCCTGCACACGCCCCGGAGGGCGCCCCGACAAGAGCCTGCACACCAGGTGCGCGCCCTGGACCGCTGACCAGAGTCAAAGGCGGGTCCCTGCAGTCCGTGCGCCGAGGTTCTGTCCACTGAGCCGAGCCGCCAGGGCCCAGCTGGGTCTTTGTAAAGATGGGGTCAGGGCGCCCCCAGCTGGATGCCCGCGGGGGCCGGGGTCGGGGTTGCTTCCTGGGGGGCCGTGTCCGGTGGTGTCTCGCTCTGGAGATATGGTCCCTGCGGCGTCT